TCACAAAAAGACAAACATGGTATGTAGTCACTCATATATGGATTTTAGACATGGAAAAAGGGAGTACTAACCTACAATACCACTGCCAGAGAGTGTGGGAAAGAGAACCTTCAATCAATGACTGATGGAAGCAGAGGCTAGAATATCTGACAGATCATTTTCAGAAGCAGGACCTTCGTGGGCAATATCCATAGTCTGCCATTTCATTCAGGGCAGTGCCTAGGCCCTCCGCCAAGAGTCCAGGCTGAGAGAGCATCCCTCATTGTGGGATGGGTACCCAAAGTCCATTTGTATGCCAGGGATAAACACTGATTTACTACCCAAGGCCCCATAGATTACATAGGCCTCCTCACTGACGCCTACATTCAGGGGATCTGGATCAGTCCTATGCTGGCCTCTCAGCCATCAGTCTGAGGAGCAGGTTGTTGCCTAGAGGGGTTTGCAAGATGTTTTTTGTTTGTTTGCTTGGTTGGTTTATTTCTTTTTCTTTTCTAACTTTTTTTGGGGGGAGGTTATAAGGGTGGAGGGTGGATATGGAAGGGCTGGGAAATGAGTGGAGTTGGGGTACATGATGTGGAATTCCAAATATTGAATAAAAATTATGTTTAAAATAATAACTTCAGGGTCCATCTCTTTTCTTTCTTCTATGTAGCTGAGATAATTTTCACACAGTATACACTTTTGCCTAAACAACTTCACTTTCAAATGTTCATTGCAATGAGTCATTAGTGTAGTTCAAGGCCTCTGGCTTCTGCTACATCATCAATACTGAACCCTCCTCTCAGATATCCCGCTATTGCCCTGAACCATGGAGATTCTGTGACTGTGGTTCTGCAGGATCAGTTTTTTCATGCACTTTAGAAGCACATAGTTGTATAAATATTGGGGTGGGCCAATTCAAACCCCTGGATCTGGGCCTGGGTGGTGACTGAGTTGGTCAGTCTTCCATGTCCTCACCACCAAGGCCAGCTCTGCCATGTCATCCAGGCTAGGGGTGGAACTAGCTCTCCCAAGCCCATGTAGTGCCTGGTGAGGGGCAGAGTCAGCTTAGTGTAGCCCTCAAATTTCAAGATGTCTCCAGGCTGCAATAGAGACTATGGACAGACATCCACATATCCTTTGGTGGTAACAGGGTCATGGACATCAACACAGACCTTGGCTATATTAGGACCACAGACCCAGACATGGCCTTTGGAGGCAGTACTGGTCTGGATCTCACCATGGCCTCAGATGGCAGTGCAGGCCTCTCAAATCAGGGTGTTCCTCACTGCTGTTGGGTCTCCTGCCCCACCTCTCTTCATAGGGCATAAACAGCTCTCCTTCTCTTTCTGTCCTATCTCTCCATCAGATATTTGGTTGCTTCTGGTGCACATCTGCCTAGTGAAGGTTGGGAGCTGCTGGATATCTTGGAGCATTTGGCATAGGCCTGCCTGGTCAGATCCTTGAGTTATTAATCTTTGCAGTGAAGTTGTTCATTTTTTCTTTCTTTTAAACATTTTATTTTCAGACATGGCCTTGATATGTAGCCTAGGGTTAGCTTAGGGTGCCCTGGTATGGAATCAAAATCCTCTTCTGTTTCAGCTTAAATAACAGAAGCCTAAGTAATTTCTATATGTTTGTGATCAAGCCTCTTTCTGGGTTCTTTATTTATTGACTTTATAGATAGCCTTCTCCTCTGTGCTTTTACTTAGTTGGTGTGTGTGTGTGTGTGTGTGTGTGTGTGTGTGTGTGTGTGTGTGTGTGTGTGGTCACCTTTATAAGGAACTAAGTCCTATTGGATTAGGACCCATACTAATGACTTTATTTTAATTAGCTTCCCCATTAAAAATTCAAGTGGTGATATATTATTTATGATTTATTAAAGCTTGCCTGAGGATTCTGAAAGTAAAGTCAGCCACAGGCCATAGAAGCCAGGCACAGGCACGCACCTTTAATCCCAGCAACCAGAAGCTAGCAGGTAGTGGTACACACCTTTAATTCTAGGACTCAGGATTAAGAGGTAGATGGATCTCTGTGAGTTTAAGGTCACCCAGGGATACACGAGATTGAATCAGTCTAAAAGAGTAACAGATCACATGCCTTTAATCTCAGCACTAGAGGCCTATAAAAGATAGAAACAGGGTCTTCAGTCATCAGCAGGACACACTCATTCTCCTGCCACACTGAAGATAGGAGAATTCTTTCTTCAGCCACACAGGAGTCTCCAGCCATGCTGAGGAGAGGCAGCAGAATCAGCCCATTTAGTCTGAGGTAGAATGAGAGCTAGTGGCCCACTACTTTGCTTTTCTGAACTTCAGCTTGAGGCTTGAACCCCAATATCAGTCTCTGGGTCTTTTATTTTTCATGTTACAGATTTAGTATTCCCATATAGTCACAGTCTTATGTACTGGAGGTGTAGACTTTTATAGAAATTTTATGGCTGCCACAATTCTACCTATAACAACCATTCCAATCGTGACACTTATGAGCCACACAGTTGTGGGAAAATGACCAAGCCCCATGAACTTCAGGTTTTTTCATCTGTGAAGGAGATTTGTTGGTATATTTTTGGTGCACTTAAAGTGCATCCAAAGCATGCTATGTATTGGGATATTAATGTCTGGCAGAGATTTCTATGCCACCACAATTTCCCCCTAGGCGATTTATTATTTAATTTGTCTGGAGCCTTCCCTAACTGGATGCAACTGAAATTTCTAGAATTTAAGTAATGTGTTCTAGTCAGGGTTTCTGTTGTTGAGATGAAACACCATGGCCAAAATCAACTTGGGGAGGAAAGGGTTTATTCAGCTTACACTTTTGTATCACTGTTCAACATTGAGGGAAGTCAGGACAGGAACTCACACAGGGCAGCAACCTTGTGGGCAGGAACTGAAGCAGAGGTCATGGAGGGGTGCTGCTTACTGGCTTGTTTACGATGGCTTGCTCAGCCTGCTTTCTTAGAGAACCCAGGACCACCAGTCCAGGGATGTCCCCACCCACAATGAGCTGGGTTCTTGCCCATCAGTCACTAATTAAGAAAATGCTCTACAGATGTGTCTAAAGCCTGATCTTATGGAGGTATTTTCTCCATTGGGATTGCCTCCTTCAGCTTTTGACAAGCTGACATAAAACTATCAGTGCCTACTGTGATATTAACATGTTTTATTTATTATTCTTATTTTAATTAAAATTCCCATACAACGTATTTTGATAATGTTCCTCCCCTCTTCCAACTTCCCCCAGGTCCCCCCTCCCTATCCATCCAACTTTGTTTTTTCTCTCTCAAAAACCCACAAAACACAAAAACAAAAATCGAAGCAAACAAGCAAAAGACAAATAAGACAAAACAATAACAGCAGCAGCAGCAGCAGCAACAACAACAACAACAACAAAAACCATAGCATTTGTTTTATGTTGGTCAGCTATTCCTGGATATAGGACTTGCCCTGGAGTATGGTTGATACACAGTAACACCCCACTGGAGAAAACAGATTTCCCCTTTGCTGCTGAGTATTAATTGCAAATAGCTTCTCTACTAGGGGTGGAAATCTGTGCCCCACTTACCCCTCACAGTACTAGGAGCCCATCTGACTCTGTTATGTTAATACTGATTTCCAACATGCCAGCGTCACCTAGGAAACAAGCCTCCTGTCATACCCATAAGAGTTTATCTAGATTAGGTTAGTCTCTGCTGTGCCTGTGACTGGTTGTCTTAAGTTAGTTAATATGAGAAGACAAAATATAAATGTGACAACCACTGTTTCATGGCCTGGGCTGAGGTTCTGACTGAAAGGTTGCTGAACACAGACATTCTCATTCTTTTCTTTGTGGCTGCAGATACAATTTGAACAGCTGCCTCAAGCTTCTGCTTCCAGGACTTCCTCACAGTGATGAGCTTTATCCAACAATGGTGAGCCAAAAAGTTACTTTTGTCAGTTCCTCAATGCTCTTGCATTTAGATCACTGGGTAATTTATAAACAGGACTTTATTTAGTTCATAGTTTTAGAGGTTAAAAGTCCAAGAACACAAACTCAGTTCTGATAAAGGCCTCATGGCAGCTAACACTACGATGGGAGTGTGTGCAAGAGGGACAGATCAGGAATCCAGAGAGTGATTCAGGGATCAGGCTCTCTAAAAATTATTTTTATTTTAAAATTGATTATTTTTATTTTATGAGGGGATTGCCTGCATGTATATCTGTGAGCCACATTCATATTTGGTACCTGTGGAGACCAGAGGAGAGCATCAGATTCCCAGGAACTGGAGTTACAGAGTTGTATGAGTTACAGGCAGCTGCAATGTGGGTGCTGGGAACCAAATCTGTGTTCTCTGTGAGTCCAACTCTTTTAATAACAACCTCTTGCAAGAAATATCCAGGATCCTATGGGAATTGTATCAATTATTTCTAAGAGGACAATGCTCCCAAAGAATTCCCATTTGACTCATCCTCTTGAAAGTTCTCTCCACAGTACACTGAGGAGCAAATTTCCTGCACACAATGTAGTTGGGGATTCTTGTCTACAGGCTATTTAAAAGGAACTGTTTATGGGACTGGAGAGAGAGCACAACGGTTAAGAGACTGAAAATTATTCGAGAGAAGTCAGGTTCAATTCCTAGTACCCACAGCAGGTGGGTTACAACTGCCTGTAACTTCAACTCCAGGGCCTCCTGACACCTTGGGCCTTCTAGTGCACTGGCACTGACATGCAGATCCACATATGTACACATACTTACAATAAAATAAAAATTAATAATCCCAACAACCCCCAAAAGGAACTGTTCTGAAAAATGAAAAGAGAACTGCTCAGAATGGAAAATTCACTTTTCAGGCCTAAGTCACAGCATGAATCACTCCTTTGGTCTAAGAGGACACCTCATTTCTTCTTGATATGGCTGCTGCTAATGGACTTGACTATGTAAAGGTAAGGGCAAATCCAACTTTTCCCAGTGTTACCCCATGAACACAGGACCTTGCAAAAAACAGGTCCTCAACAAATCACCTAGTAAGTGGAGTGACTTATTTATTTGTATTGTAATTTTATTAAAACGAACTTGGAAATCAAAAACATCACCAAAATTAACCAGATCCAAAGTCTATAAATCTCAATGAGCTTCTTTACAATTCTGAAGCTGTGGAGCTTTACATTGGGTAATTTGTTAGGATGTAATTTCTCATACAATTTCAAAAAAACGTGTACATTTAGATCTACTCATGCAACCTAATTTAACAGAGGTACAGATTTTGTTGAAGGGGAAAATAAACAATTTCTTTGATTTTTCTCCATTTAATGGCATTGGATATATTACTAAATTCTTTCACATTTCAAATTAAATTCCTATTTCAATGTTATTACAGACCCTAAAATAAGATATAAAATAGCAAAAGATGTCTACGTGTGGTGGCACGGATCTGTAATACTGGCACTTAGCAGGAAGAGGCAGGTGGATATCTATGAATTCAAGGCCAACTTGATCTATATAGAGAATTCCAGGACAGTTAGGGCTGCATAGCATGGCCCTACTGAAGGAAGCAATAAATGTGTTATTAATGCCATTTATAGACTTAGATTCTGAAGCCCATGAAATCCTTCAATTAAGAAAAACAAAAATTTAAAATTACTAAAGAATGTTCCAAGTTATCCTTACAAAACAGGAAAAAATTATATACTTACTTTCACTAGCTCTCTTTACTGCTTAAAACTGACTGCCACCTTCAGAGAGTGAAGACACATCTGAGACTTCATTCAGAAAGCTTCTGAATGTGGCATTAGAACTTGTATTGGCCAAACAGTATGCCATTTATGGTGACAATCCCCAACAAAATTCGATGTTCTCTCAAAATACAGGGATTGGAAGGATCTGGAACACTTAGTTCATCCTGCTGATCTCAGCTAAAAACTCTATGACATCCTCACTTCTTGTTTCAGCATGGGCCCTAGGGCCCCATAGGAACTCATAGTGAGGGGGATCACTGTCAGGCACTGGGTTGTATTCCAGATACCCTTCCTGTACAAAATTTTCAATGAACAGCTTCTTGGCATTCCCAGCTATATAGTGATTTTCTATAGGGCTTATTCCCATCATAGTTAGTGCTCGCCACATCATATTCTCACTGATACGGTTGCCACTCATGCAAATGACACCTAGGGCAATTATTAGGAGGCCAGTTTTGGGCATGCCTTGGACATTAGTAAGCATCCCATCATAAGTGATCCCCAGGGCAATGACAAGGGCATAGGTGTGGACAACAGCATCCACTTCTATTACATCAATGCCAAAGACCAGCTTCAAACCATCAGAGGCCTCATTAAAGATCATATTGTAGTGCTGCTCATCATCTTCTATAATCTCTGCTATAATTTCTGCCTTGCTGGTTAGCTCCTTCAATCTATACTTGAGGAGCAGGAACTGTATCAAATAAGTCACCTTTTCACTTAATTCATGGCGCAATACCATGGGGCCTTCCCCCTCCCTTATTTGGTTGCCAGAGGCCTCATCAGATGGGGATATTGGAATGGAGGCCATAACAGTGGGAGGAGATACGGCACGCTGAGGACTATGGTGAAAATTTGGTATCCCACCAGCAGGTATCTTCCTGGGGAGAATTGGGCTAGTGGAAGAAGAGGAGTTGTTATTATTGGACTCCTCTCCCTCAGCCACAGACAGATCAGAATGCATCTGGCCCTGTTCTTTTCTTTGGGCCTGAGATTCTCCCTGAAAGTTGCAATACTGCCTCTTCTGACCATGAGACATGATGACTTTCTTGAAGCTAGAGTCAGGGGGATGCGCAGGAACACAGCAATACAGACTCAGACCTGGGGCAAAAAGAGAGCAGTGTGAGAATAGTTTGCTGACAGTTACACCTCTGAACCCTCTCAAATTGACCTGCTGAAGTTTTTCTCTTGGGTTGTACTGTATGGCCACAGGGGAACCTGTCTTTCTGTCAGTCCTATACTGATGACACTGAAGGAAGTAGTAATAAGTGTTTGCAGAGTGCAGCCAGGTTACAGAGCTTGACACTCCAGTGGGTCAAAGAAATGTGGAGTCCCTGTGTTCTGGGGTGGATGGGACCCTTGGTACCTCACTTTCACTCCTGACTATGGTTGGGCTTCCCCTGTGTCTGACTTGAGGACACTGCCCTTCGTTTCTCGCCCCTGGAACTCATGTAAGAGATGCAGAGGCATTCCAGATCGACAGACTTCGAGAACACTAGGTGCCTGGTCCTGATAGGAGGGGAGAGGTGAACTCTGGGTAGCTCCTCTGCTGTCTCATATGGCACCCTCTGCAGTCACTCTTTGCACTATCAGGGTCTGGATCCCTCCCCTCTTCTGGCCTGAGTTCAACTTCTTGCAACGAAAATCCACAGCTCTGGGATGGTATAAGGCAGTGAGGGAAACTTACATCCGGCTAAACTTTCCTGGGGTGAGAGGAAGGCAACACACCTCACTAGGGTCTAAGTGTATCAGGGAATAGAGCCTGCCTCATACTTACCTTGATAAACTGCAAGGACTGAATTGCTTCTCCTGATGAGCTGAACCCTCCTTCTTTAATGTGAAGGCAAAGAGAGAAAGAAGAAAGAGGAAGTGAGGGGAGGGAATCCACCTACAGTCCCTAGGTTTTCCCATAGCCAACAGAAGCACAAGGTTCCATGCATTTGGGTGATGGGATTCTCTCAGTTCTCACCTTGAATTCTGACACTACTGGAATCTTTTCTCTGATGATCTGAGTCAAGATCGTCTTGATAGGGTTTTCAGCTCTCTGAGATCCATGACCTAGAAACAGAGGGCTTAGACTGGTGGCTTTGTCCAGGACTGTGAGGGTGACAAGGTTTACAGTGCAGACTTCTGTGGACCCTGTCTGTGCTATAGACTGGAGTCACCTTCAGTCAGCCCTTGGTGTCCTTGACTCTTGCCAGATCCTTTAACACGTGTGTCTAGCTGAAGGATCACCCACTGAGGCTAAATTCCTCACTTCCCCCTCAAATCTTGAAAACTTTCAGAAGCAAACAGATGTCATATCCCTTTATCCCTGCAAGGGAAGTGACCAGATGCCATATCCTTTTAGCTCTGCACTGGATCTTCAGGGTTGCCTACCTGATACAGACTCATCTTTGTTGATATGGGGTTCCCTAAGCCCACCAGAAGTTTATTCATCTGAAGTGTCCTTTCTAATGTCTCCTCTTTATAGAAGACATCATTTCTCCAGTGATTCTGCAGAACAGGCCTCACTTTTTCTTGACACCCCATAAGCTAAAGTGAAGGTGCACTGCATCTGAATACTCCCCTCAGAGACTACCAGGGCTGACAAGAGGATGGAGGTAACAATGTGCTTTCAAGTGTGAGCTCCCCACTGTTTTCCTCCATTTTCTACCTTCAGTCTACATAAGACCTGGGCCCTTACCTCTGCTGAGGCAGTGTTCTTTTTAGTAAGAACCCCATACTCTCATACTTGGATGCAGAAGTCAGAAACCACTTGCTTATTAGTGCCTGTCTGGACTCAGGGAAAGGATATACTTGGTCCCATCCATTGTACTCTCAGTTCTTTCTAAATAATCACCTTACTTCCATTAGTGTCTGGGACTCTTACTCTGCTGACTGGAGTCCCTACTTCTACTTACAAATCCTCTCCTCTCTCAGACAAAGATGTGAAAATCAGGCATTACATTACTGGTCACCTTGAATGGGGCCTCACTGGACTGACCGCATGATTAGATTTTTGTAGGGTCCTTCTTATATTAGAATTCTCTCCCTCATAATCTGGACTTTTTCCCTCTGACCATGACATTTCATTCTTTTCTGATACCTAAGACAAAAGCTTGGGAATTCCATATCTGGCCACAGATCCTGAGTCTCCCAGAGTTAACAGCAAGGGCACAATGGGATACTTTGGTGGCACTTTATCATCCCTCACAGCTATCTTCCCTATGACCCCTAGACTATTCTGAGCCCCAACATCTGGTGATTTCAGTCTGCTGCCCCCAGACTAAGACTATGACTCCAGTGGAGTCTTGAGACAGGAGGGGGTGGGAAGAGTGAGCTGGGGTTCCAAATGTCTCCCCTGAAAAGCCTGCTTTCCTGTTATTCCTGATCTCTCTAGGACCTTTATCATGAAGGGGTGCTGGATTTTGTCAAAGGCTTTTTCAGCATCTAGTGAGATGATCATGTGGTTTTTCTTTCACAGATTGTTAATATGGTGGATTACATTGATAGATTTTCTAATGTTGAACCATCCCTGCATTCCTGGAATGAAGCCTACTTGATCATGGTGGATGATTTTTCTGATGTGTTCTTGAATCCGGTTTGCAAGTATTTTATTGAGTATTTTTGCATCAATGTTCATGAGGGAAATTGGTCTATAGTTCTCTTTCTTAGTTGTGTCTTTGTGTGGCTTAGGTATCAAGGTAATTGTAGCCTTGTAGAAAGAGTTTGGCAGTGAGCCTCCTGCTTCTATTGTGTGGAATACTTTGACGAGTATTGGAATGAGCTCTTCTTTGAATTTCTTATAATAAAAGCAATATACAGTAAACCAACAGCTAACATCAAACTAAATGGAGAGAAACTCAAAGCAATTCCTCTAAAATCAGGAACAAGACAAGGCTGTCCACTCTCTCCATATCTCTTCAATATTGTACTTGAAGTTCTAGCTACAGCAATAAGACAACAAAAGGAGATAAAGGGGATACAAATAGGAAAAGAAGAAGTCAAACTTTCACTATTTGCAGATGATATGATAGTTTACATAAGTGACCCAAAAAACTCCGCAAGGTTACTCCTAGAGCTGATAAACACCTTCAGCAATGTGGCAGGATACAAGGTAAACTCAAAAAAATCAGTGGCCCTATTATATACAGATGATGAAGTGACTGAGAAAGAAATCAGAGAAACATCACCTTTTACAATAGCCAAAAAACAGCATCAAATATCTGGGGATAATGTTAACCAAGGAAGTGAAAGACCTGTATATCAAGAACTTTGTGTCTTTGAAGAAAGAAATCAAAGAAGATACCAGAAAATGGAAAGATCTCCCATGCTCTTGGATTGGTAGGATCAACATAATAAAAATGGCAATCTTGCCAAAAGCAGTCTACAGATTCAATGCAATCCCTATCAAAATTCCATCACAATTCTTCACAGATCTGGAAAGAACATTAATCAACTTTATATGGAAAAACAAAAGGCCCAGGATAGCCAAAACATCCCTATACAATAAAGGAACTTCAGGAGGTATCACCATACCTGACTTCAAGCTCTATTATAGAGCTATAGTCCTGAAAACAGCTTGGTATTGGCACAAAAATAGGCAGGTAGACCAATGGAACCGAATCGAAAGCCCTAATTTTAACCCACACACCTATGAACACCTGATTTTTGACAAAGAAGCTAAAACTGTACAGTGGAAAAAAGAAAGCATCTTCAACAAATGGTGCTGGCATAACTGGGTACTGGTATGCAGAAGACTGCAGATAGATCCATGTTTATCGCCTTGTACAAAACTTAAGTCCAAATGGATCAAAGATCTCAACATACATCCAGCCACACTGAAACTTTTAGAAGAGAAAGTGGGAGATACTCTTCAACGAGTTGGTACAGGAGACCACTTCCTAAACATAACACCAGTGGCACAGGCACTGAGATCGACAATGAACAAATGGGACCTTCTGAAACTAAAAAGCTTCTGTAAGGCAAAGGACACAGTCAAAAAGACAAAAAGGCAGGCCACAGAATGGGAAAAGATATTCACTAACCCTACATCTGACAGAGGGCTAATCTCCAAAATTTACAAAGAACTCAAGAAACAAGTCTCCAAAACACCAAAGGATCCACTTGAAAGGTGGGGTACAGAGCTAAATAGAGAATTCTCAGTAGAGGAGGCTAAAATGGCCAAGAGACACTTAAGAAAGTGCTCAACATCCTTAGCCATCAGGGAAATGCAAATCAAAACAACTCTGAGATACCATCTTACTCCTGTCAGAATGGCTAGAATCAAAAACACCGAAGACAATTTATGCTGGAGAGGATGTGGAGAGAGAGGAACACTCCTCCACTGCTGGTGGGAATGCCGACTCATACAGCCTCTTTGGAAATCAGTATGGAGATTCCTCAGGAAAATGGGAATTAATCTACCACTATACCCAGCAATTCCACTCTTAGGCATTTATCCTAATGAGGCAGGTTCATACAACAAGGGCATCTGCTCCACTATGTTCATAGCAGCATTGTTTGTAATAGCCAGAACCTGGAAGCAACCTAGATGCCCCTCAACTGAAGAGTGGATAGAGAAAATGTGGTACATTTACACAATGGAGTATTACTCAGCAGGAAAAAAACAATGGAATCTTGAAATTCGCAGGGAAATGGATAGCACTGGAAGAAACCATCCTGAGTGAGGTAACCCAGTCGCAAAAAGACAAACATGGTATGTACTCACTCATATATGGATTTTAGATATGGATCAGGATAGTGCCAGTCTGCACTTCCACAGATAGAGAGTCTGGGAAACAGGAAAGAACCTAAAAGATATGCATATATGCATAGTACCCAAGAGAAGAGGATGGAGACAAGATCCTCTGAATGGATGGGGAACATGGCGAGGGGTTGGGGGGAGTGGGACCTGGGAAGAATAGAGGGGGTAAAGAGGAAGGGAGTTGGTCATGGGGGAACAGGAAGTTGAGGGGGTGGGGGTAGAATAGGGGGAAGAGGGAATCATAGGATCGAAGACAGATCAGGCACCAGAGTGACCTCGAGTGATCTAAAGGTATAACATCAATTGGCAAGCTAAGCAATAGTGGAGGGAC